ATTAATACTTTGATTAACTGCTATGAAATGGCTCTCCCGAGTCAGTTTTAATAGGGGTTTACCCAGGGTTCCAAGTGAATTCCCTAACTTTCCCTGACCTTCCCTGACCACAGCATATTTTAAGTACTGTGAGTTTTTTCTTAATATTTAGGTATAAGTTTATCGCTTAAAAAAACAACTTTTTATTTAATACGGCCTCCACCATCCCCATAGCCGCCATTACACCAAATTTTAGTGAATTTCCCATATAGGAAATAAGGCTATTACCGCAGGTCTCATAATAAGACCTAGACCGCCAACCGATTTACTTTTTTTGTTTTGACAAATTTGTTTATTTCATATTAAGCTATCAAGATTTTAATAAAAAGCACTCGTTATTATATTTTCTGTAGCAACAAACCAATGTACTTGTTAAAATTAATTTTATTTGAATAGGAAATAATTTTAAAGGAATATTTTAAAAATCCAGCCAGGTACAGTAGACCCCCTCTTAACCGACCTCGTATTAACCGATAATCGGATTATCCGCCTTCGGTCGTAAAATAATACAGTGTGTTTTAACCGACCTTGCTTTGAGAGCAGTTCGGTTTAACCGCCGCTTTCTAGGAATCTTGACATTTCCGCTCCCACGCTGGGTGATGAGAACTGAACCATACGCTTATCTCTACAGGATATGACTAAGAAAAAGTTATTTTATATTGATCACAAAAAAATAGCATATTGTCAGTTTGTCATCATCGTTCGTAGTGCGAGCTTATCTGATCTAATTTGTTATCTGTGCGGCAAATTTATAACATCGTAAAGTGCGTTACTATTTTGAGAACTGATTATCTTATCGCTGGAGTAAACAAACAACGCAACTTGTAGGGAGGGCAGGGAAGGGGGGTTAACAACTCCAAGGTCAAGATAGTTTTTGTGCCTCGAGCCTCCAGTGAGAGGCTATAAATAAATATCCTGTCTTGTAACAAAATGGTTGCTTGTATCTTTATCTTTGACAAAAGGTTCTGTACTGTATTACAATGGATTTGGAAAGCATCAATTAATACATTACAGTACGGTACTACATCTTTTTAAATAGGAATTTTTATTGACTCTTGCCTAGTACTATAATATATTCCACTGAAAGTAGGCCTATTTGACTTAACCGTGTTTGGTGTTTATTTGTGACTTTTCTATCAATACGAAAAAGGAGATAAGAGTAGTTTATTTTATCAAGTATGACTTCAAAATAATGATTATATAATTCCAAATGAATAGCACTTCTTTATGTTATGATTTAAGGGATTGCCCGTTTTAACCGACCTTTTGAGTTATCCGACATAGGTCCGGTCCCATTAGGGTCGGTTAATAGGGGGCCTACTGTAAATGGAAATTCACTTAATCTGAAAGTTGCTGTGGCGGGGATATTTATTAATACAATACCAAATAAGAAATAAAATTCAAAATACTTACAGCTCTAAATAAAACAAAAAAATGGAAATAAAAATTACATACACACCACAGATTTTTCAGAACTATGTAATCTGTTCCGCAACTATCTCATTTCAATAATAACTAATCATAAAAAAAGTTAACGCAATCTATAGAAGTTTTTAGTAAATTTCTCTAACTTAACATAGCCTTTTTTTAAATTTTCCCTGACCCTATACCTATTTCCCTTACCTTCCCTGACTTTCCAGACTGTCCGCGGGAACCGTGTACCATATTGCTATAACATAATTAATAAATACATTAACAAAAGTCAATGTTGTACTAATTTAACTGTGTATGTCTTTTTCCGTACCATATATATTCTTATTTTTTTTTAGATTAAATTGTACAGAACGGTGTTGTAGAAGATACAGACTGTATGCAACACAGTAAATTGGTGCAGTTATGACACTGACACAATAGTTTTGCATAATTTCATTTTTACACGACAAGTACAGTATATTTGAAAAGGAAGTATTGAAAAACTTTGCATGCGTCTGAGTTTTTAATGAATGTAATGTCAATAACAAAATATTTTCACAGTATTTTACATGTTTGTGTATTGTCTACATAGTTAATGATGAACTGTATATCTGAGTCCGAGAGTTGAATACAAGTTCTACTCTGTTCCATACTGTTATCTTTTACAAATGAGGAACAAAATACTTGATTGACTATGTATTATATTTTACGTTTTCTTGCAGTACAAGGACGGCGGCATTGCGACGGCACCACGCTACGGCGCAGGCAAAAGCCAGTTCTACACAGAGGCAGACCTAGAGTCTCACGAGCGCATAAGTCAACTGACTCCCGTAAAGCCAATTACCAATTCTGACGACACTGTGTACCTCTGTAACTCAACGTTCTACCAACCGAGCGAGATGTGTCGGGCAGAAGGATGTCCGTTCTTCGGCAATCCTCAAACACAGAACTACTGCTCAAAGTGTTTCCGGGAACAGTTGCAGTGTAAAGAGTCGTAAGTGTAAAGAACTGTTACTGTGTAGGGTTGTAAGTAAACAACTGTTACAGTTTTTAAGTCGTAAGTGTATAGAACTGTTAATGTGTAGAGTAAGTACTGGACCGTTACAGTGTAAAAAGAATGTTTTGAGAACTGTTACAGTGTGTCAAGTCATAAGTGTATAGTACTGATCTAATGTAAAGAGTTATAAATTCAAACAACTAACAGTTTAAAGAGACGTAAGTGTTTCAGTGGATGTTCCGGTGTTGCGGTACGCTGTACCTGATTTTCTGTCAGATTTTGCTGGTGTTTAACCTGTACATAAATCCCTGCTTTATAGCCTATTTATCTGAGAATCTAGTGCAATCGTGGAGACATCATCAGGTTAAATGTAAGAGCATCAAGTTCAAACTAAACTGTGGCTTTTTCAATTATGTTGTACTGAATTAAAATATTATGATTTTAAACAATTTTTTATCAAGAAGAGATTTGAAATAAGTCAATTGTTTTGAACACAAAAGTAAAAATCCCAAGCCACAGTGTTAACACATCAACATGTGTCTTCAACTTGTATGTAGTTTGTTAAAAAAAAAACTACTGACAATATTTATTTAACTTTAATTTTTTTTACCATATCACAGTATTGTCTCTAATATTGTTTTTCATTGCACTAATGATTTTCAGATATATTCATTGTGTCATACAATATTTTGGGATGTTTTTAGTCTGTATATTTTATTGTTTTATTGTTTTTTTATCACCAAATGTGTGATAATGTTCAAAATCTGTTATTTAAAATAAATGTTTTCTTGTTAAATGTTAAACTGTGTTAAGTATATTTTTGTAGTTAAACTAAACATAAATCACTCTGTTGTGTGGGTATTTATTTACTTTGTTATGTGGTAGGTGTGGAGTATGTTAGAAACCTTTGTTGATCCAAAAACTTAAAACTTTGTAGGTCGGATGAAATATCTGTGAGATTTATAATCTCAGGCATAATCAGACCAATAATATGTCATCAACCGTCAGTTGATAATACAGAGTAACAAATCTAAGAAGAAACTTATCGTTTTGCAGCAACTCATGGTCAAGTTTTGGAAGCTGTTTACCATGGCTCATTGCCATTGTGTTTTTCCCACATCAAAATTTGGAAACAAAATTAATCGGTTTGTTAATGAAAAAAATTATTTTTTCACTAATTTTTGCTATTTAAATTTACAACACGTTCACAGACAAAGTACAAACTGTACTATTGCAGTTGTGTTTCAGTACTTCTGTTTACTATGTGTTGAGCCCATACAAATCCCTAGTTCGCTGTTAACATTTGTTTTAGCAACATAATTAGAAACATCCCCATGTTCAATTTGTCGGCAGATTTTTTATCAAAATCGGCATAGTTGATGTGAGCCACAGACAGATTGTGATGATCCAAACTACTAATTTCTGACGAATACACAGACCTTTTTACCAATTCAAACTAATGGAATTACTTGTAAGCTATAGCAACTTTTATGACCCAACTTGGTCAGCAAGAAAAAATAAGGTAGAAAATTGAATTTTAGACACTAGGCATTCTGTGACTAGCTAAGACAACTACATTCTTTTTTAATACAAAATTGGCCATAGCTGGTTCATATAGATAGGATGTCTACATACTTCAGTATCCAATAGTCAATGATAATACCTTGGATTAAACATACTCATAGATTTCTCATCCTCTGGATCTTAAAAGTTTGGCCCCCAACTAACTTGGTCAGTTATTTCTATTTGTTGCATATTTTACAGAATCGTTTTGCATTGCTTAGGTCGACCATCACATTTTTTGTTGCTAGTCAGTAGTGTTGATGTAAATACATGTAAGTACAAGTAGAAGATAAGATCAATTTTTTTCATTTTTCTGGGGCATTAGTTTATGCTGCAAGTAAAAGCAAGCGTATCAAAAAACTGATATCCATAAAAAAAAGTAGGACTACTACTTAATTACGAAATATTTGTTTACTAATTCACTTATTTTTTTACATTAGTGTACGGTAAGATTATTTAGATTATACTTTATACTTTTTTATTAAAGAAAGTATAAAGGTATATTAGGTACACAATACAATGGTATAAGTCAGATAACATGTTGAAGGAATAGCATGCAGTGCTAGTGAATTCATGCTAGACAATTAATTTGTCGCTTGCAAGATGAATGGGTATAAGTCCTTAGCATATTAATATGTACTTACGCTCCTTCATCTTGCAAGTGTCTAATTGTTTATGAATGAGAACCTTTGCATTGAATCAGTGAGTAGTTTCAATGGCGCTATAAATGCACTGTTATGCATGAATGCTATGTCAACGTGTAACCAGTCTTAGGCAAATTTGCCCAATTAGGTAAACTTACTAATGAGTTTAATAATTTTTCATTCTAATGTAAACATTTTCAACAATATTTCCAGTTTAATTTGGTAATAATACATGTGTTTACACCTAAAACATTTCCTACATTGTATTCTGATTACTAAGCAATAGAGCTGTAAGGTGAAAAATAAGTAATATTTTGGAAGTTTTTTTTCTTTTCTGATGGGAAACAAAATTATTCTATACTTAGGATATTGGTTTTATTCTATGTTTTTGCTTGGTTTTATTTCTTTTACTTTAACAGCAAGTATTTGCACTTATTTATAGAATTTAGGATATTGCTTAACTATTGTTTTGCAATTTGTTATTGTTAATGTTGTTGTTTTAGCTTGTACTTTTTTATTTAAATGCTTGGCACTGGACCATGTTTTTAACAAAACGCAACTAAGGCGACTATGAAAAGGCTTAAACTTTTTTTTTATTTCTTATAAATGGAAGTTAACCATATCATCAGGGGTGTATTGGGGCAAGATATACAAGCTTTACAAATTTCAGGAAGGATAAATAAGAAATATTACATTTTGTTTTACTTGATATAAAAAGTTGGTAGCAAAATTCCTGTGTGTATATAGCAACCAGACACAATGCTCACTCCTCTTTGTCCTTGCTTCATCTCACTCCATGCTGTGTTTGAAACATTCCCTGTACAACCACTTCATTAATGTAGATAGGTTAAAAAGTTAAAGAAATAAAAATTACAAGATAAGTTGCAAATGGTTCAAAAGTGATTTTTCTTCAGATTTGCTTGTACCTGGTTGTTCAATCCTTGATACAGTTGTTGAATGTTATTAGTATTTAGATCCCCCACTACAATTGCCTTTGATTTTAATAGAAGTGATATACACTCTTTCTAATCACAAGATGATGAAATGTAGGTGGTTTCGGTTAATGTATTATGTTGCAGCTGATTGACAAGTGGTGCAAGTAGTATCAACTGTAGGGGATAGATTTCTTCCCCTAAAACCACCTACGTTTCTTGTTCGGAGTATAGTACCTCAAACTTGTCTATTGAATTTCGCTTGTTAGAATCACAAACACATTTGATATAATACTTAGCAAATTCGTCCTAGACTACCACTGTCTCTGTAAATTCTAATTTCAATTTTGCTTTGTGTATTGTATATATTAATAAGTGCCATACTCATTTTTATATTACCACTTCCTCCTCTTTGATCCAATTTATAGTTGCATAATAAACACCATATATGTGTAGTTTTAACTATGGTTGTACTGTACATCATAGCTGCAAATGTCTACAGTTGAATATTTTATTGTGTAAGCTGTGTTAAACAATTGTGCCTCTTGATTCAAATATTTTCCTAATATTACAAATGTTTTGTGTAAATTATGTTGTAGCTATCAAAATAATTACAATATTTTTATAGACATGTTCAAATAACCGCTAATTACTATTTTTCTAACTACCTTAGAGAGAGATAGTTTTGAACTGCATATTGTTGGTTTGGCCAGTTACCGTAATCTTGGCATTTGTATGGCAAGGCGTTTTCTGTATATTTGAAACTACTTTTCAATTATTTATGTTTTTCTTTGAAGTTTACAAAACTTTGCTTTGGATTACAATTCAATCTAAAAAATGTCCTCCCTTTCCCTTCTTTTGAGGAATTATTAGGTGGTCCCAGTAGAGTCACAAGTAAGCTTTGTGTTTTCAAATTTTCAGTCAAAAGTTACCAACAAATGACTGCAAGCTGGCATTCTAATGTTAAGTCTTGTTTTCAGGCGTAGAGGTTAGAAAAAAAATTGAAATGGCTGTTATATGAAAAAAAAAATGTAAATTTGCTTTAAATAAAAAAAAACTGTTGACTGTAAAAACTGCTGCTATTATACATATATAATAAAAAATAAAAATACAAACATTTTTTTGTTCACTTTAGTTTGTAACTATTTTTCATTTTTCAATTAACACATATTTTTGAAACAGTTAACAATATTTTCCGCTTTCTTGATAGCGTTTTACTGTAAGGATTTGTCTGACTCCCATAGGTTACAATTTCCATATAGTAAATTTGTGAGAAAATTGGGTTATTTATTTATTTTTCTGTGTTACTTATGTTATTATTGTCTGGGAGTGTATTATAAGGAATTACTGAATTTATATTTTGCAAAATAATACTGCAAAAAATACTTGATACAGTATTTCTGATAACAATTCATCAGAACAACATTACCAGCCTTTCAGCACATGTTTTAGAAACTCAGCTGATTCCTTTTTGTACTTTGCCAGACATTTCATCACTAGGGCCTAAAGTGACTCTTTTCGACCCGAGCTCCGTAAAATAAGCGAATGTTGAAAAGACACTTTTTGCCCGTGTGGTGAACTATATTTTTCGTCATATTGCACCATAATTTGAACAAACTATGTTACAAAACTGAAATAGTTGTCAAAGATAGATAAACCTTTCAAAACTACTTCCAGCTTGTTTTCATTTTAATTTGCTAATGGAAACAAGCAGCTGTTTAGTAAGTGATTCAATCGCTTCCTCTATTACGATTGTGTTAGTGTACTATTATACTACAGTATCAATATGTCAAAATTTTTACAATAAGGCAACAATTAACTACAATCGATTATACAATCGATACATACTTTTGATACAAATTGTTTACAATTGAAATTTACAACTGAGTTGACAACAGCAGATTTTTACTCCCTATGGGCTAAAATTGCTTTTTACTCCCTTGAGTGTAAAAAATGCTACTTCAGACTTGAAACGCATGCATTAAAAACGTTTGTTTTGCTGCAGTATGACGAAAAGATCATTTTCCAGCTGCTATATCCAAGATTGTTTTATTTTACAATAAAATACCGTAAAGTTTCTATAGTGATTTGAAACTGCCAGAGATAGCTTCCAGCTAAAAATGTTCAAAGTTTGTACAGGTCCAGAGTATTAATAAAGTCTACTTAACATTTTACTTATTCTTATTTACAAATCCTTTTCAAACATTAATTTTTACTTTCTCCCCCTATCTATGTAATTAATGCACTACATGAAACTTCAACCATTTCTTAACCGATTTTATCCATTGACGTCTCATTGGAAAGAGCGTGTCGCGTATATTTGCAAACGGGCCTTACATTTTTGAAAAATTCCCTTGGGCTCTGCCCCAGTGGCTTTGTTCCCATGGAAGTTCCCATGTTATCCTTATGAAGAACATAATTGTTTACATTTTGATCAGCTGTATAATTTAATTGCTGTTATTTTTGTTTAAATTCAATGAAACGCATTGAGTACATTTATTTACTATTTGAGTTTGTGTAAACATAACCCCCAAGACGGATCGTGTTAGTATGGTTGTATCTTAAATTTGTGTATTTATCGTTAGCATGATTGTAATTTAAATTTGTGCATTTATCGTTGTTTTGTGTAGCTATAATTTGTTTATTTGTTGTTTTTTTTTTTCTAATGCCTCCGACGCGACAACAACGAAACATAGACAGGAGGCGTAATCGTGATAACGACCGCAACTACAGAACAGTGGCGCGTAATAGGCTTAACTCATCACAGTCAGCACCTGACCCTGGACAATCTCAACTATTAGGTTACAAATGCGCCCTAACACTACCTCAAAACGACTTTTCGTTCTCAATTGGCCCCCTTTTAATGACCTGTGTTGCCTGTATAGCGAGGCATTTTGAGAAGGAGAAAACCGGCCGGAATGCTTTAGGTTTATCAATAACGAAGATAAACATGGTCTGAGTTACACACCGGTAATCTTTGAGTTGACTCTTTTTAAACACATTGTAAATATGACTGTTATTCGTTTTGAAATAACTCCTGTAATACTTTGCAATTGCTCGAATTCGAGCAACATGTACACTAGTACTAGCCTATAGTATATGGAGAAAGTATTGTTTACATTTATGTACCTTTTTGTTTTCAAGTTATTAAAGAACATGCTCTATATATTTTTCTTGGTAGTCATGAAAGAAAAAGCTAAGCAGCATATGAATTCTTTTATAATATTTGAAAAATGTACAAACAAACAAAAAAGAAAAGCCACCAGCCATTGTTTTCTAACATGATAGTCTTATTAATCTTTTGAGTATAAACTCCATTTAAAAAAATATTTGTACAGAAAACATTTTCTACTTAAACAAACTTCATGATATCTACTGTTACTGGTTTATTTGACAAAAATGTGGAGTAATATGAAGACTATTTTGAAAAGGGAATTAAATAACTTCTTGATCAGCATTGTACGTGTTATTAAATTTACGGAAAGCAAATAAAATAAACGTCTTATAACACTTAAAACATATATTTACGCTTATACTGTTACTCACAAGACGGTAAATATACAAAGAAGATGGTAAGTGGTGATCGATTTCGATTGGACACTCCAATCATCATCAGACCCAATAGGCGAATGTAGTTTGTCGCCTATTGGGTCAAAATCGATCACCACTTACCATCTTTTTTGTATATGTACCGTCTTGTGAGTAACAGTATAAGCGTAAATATATGTTTTAAGTGTTTTAGACGTTTCTTTTATTTACTTTCCGTAAAAGGGAATTGTCATCTATATTTGAACAAAATCATAAATTTGTCTAATGGTAGCCTATATTTCATTTCTAAGACTTACTCCTTTTGACACATAAAAAAATTGCCATTTCCATGAATTCTAGTAAAAAAACAACAAATAAATTTATGATTAAAATTAAAAACAAATTAATTACTACACATTCTGATCACTTAAGAACTTATCTATGTATATACATAATAGGTTTTTCTTAAAAGGTTTTTCTTATTTTTTATTTATTAGTATAGATTAGATAATCTATATAAATAAAATTAGAGTTTTGTCTGTACATTGCTTAGAATAATGAACTTTTTGGTTATTTTTACATTTCATAGGTCAGAGAAACCGAATCAAACCTTATCTCAATTTCTGTCTGTCTGTCTGTCAGTCTGTCTGTCTGTCTATCTGTCATTCTCTTGGTAACGCTAAAATACGCACTTTATTACAACTACTCCTCAATAACTATAGCACTGTCCCGCCTGAAACTTATTTTCCAAATACTATACATATATGAGATGGTTTTAGACGTATTTCATCGAATATGAGACAGTTAGATATTTAACAGTAAACCCTTGAAAATCAAGTTTTTGTCGATTTTTGACGTGGAATTTCTGGAAGCCCATGTTAACCTTATGAGAAATGAAATTATTGAATCTTAACAGCTGTTTCAATTAAACAAGTTGGTTCTGTTCTGTGATGTTCAATAGCATTAAAGTTACAAGGATTACCAACAGGGTGCAGCACTAGCACTATTATTTCTTTTACATTTATGACAACAGCTAATTTGCAACCTGGAGGCGAGTGAGCGTAGCGAACGAGCTAACCTGAAGGCAAGTGAGCGTAGCGAACGAGCTAACCTGAAGGAAAGTGAGCGCAGCGAACGAGCTCCAACATACAGGTGAGTGAGCGTAGCGAACGAACTTCAACCAGGACGTGATTGAGCCATGCAAACGAGATCAGATAGTAAAAATAAAAGTAAGCCTACCGTTATAGGATCGACCGGCAGACACAGAGGTAATTTAACCTTTTATTGATTGTCATACCGATCCGGAACAACAAAAAACAACATAAAATGAAGCTATGTATAATAGTTTGGCCAGCATATCTTAAAATATGCAAACCAACTGCTGTTCTTTATATAAGAAGGTTTCAACTGAATATTATAAGATCCCCGTGCGTAGAACGGGTACACAGCTAGTGTTAATTAAAATAAAACATTCCTGTAAGACACACACACTTTTCTAGGATACATCCATGTGAACAGAAGCAAGATGACATCAAGTAAACTGATGCTAGTGAACAGGCGCGTGAAACAAGCAAACCCAACTGCAACAGACAATTATAACGTTAAAAAACATATGCCTTTGAAACAGAAACGTAAATTGGGTTTATTTTAAATGGTTTGTTACAACAGGAGGGGGTAAGACGGTAGCTCAGTCCGTAGTGCCACGAACTTTGGGCCCAAGGCAGAGATGTCGTGGGTTTGGATCCTAATACCTGCCACTTCTTTTTATCAGTACAGTTTACCTTTGTACTGTACCCGCGAGTCCCCTGTTTTGCTGGATACGTTCGCCGCACTGGCCCATGTGGACGGACAAACGCAAGACTAAAAGAGGCCCGCCAACCTTATAAAAAAAGTTCAATACGTCAAGAGCATCTAGCATCTGAGAACTAGTGGAGTAGTGTCTAAAACTTAACTGTGGAGAATTAATGTCCAAGTCTTAGGCTCAGTAGTTGAAACTAGTAAAGTTAACTTTTACAGTAAAAAAAAAAACATTTAATTAAAATTTTAGAATTAATATTCGGGAAGTACAATACAGAATAGAAGAATTATACCCTTAAATGGTAATTGTCCTGCTTACAAACATAAAGTAAACATTTTTTAAATACACTCTTTACAATTTCTTGATTTACTTTGTTCCCTGGATTGCCAGTGCCTGAATTGGAAACTTACTAGAGGGTCGACCTGCCCAGACGTTTTCACCAACTTACCAGCGGGGAACATTAATACTACTGTTCTCTTTCCCCTTTGTCGGACCAAAAAGCCCTCTTGACTTGTTTTTGGTCGATAGCAATAACACCATGAGTGGTACCAAACAGCACCAGACGAAGATTATTAGAAGCTTTAACTCATCTAATGTCAACTACTTCAAATTAGCATTATAGTATATACTGGAATTAGTACTGCAATTTCATTGATTTTGACGTATTTTTTTCCACTTTCCTAAATGCCATGGAAGTTTGTTTTCAGAAATAGGTCGTTGGGCCTGAGGCATTGGGGTACCGCAAGAAATCAGCAGTGAAATGGTACAATACTGAACTTTCTCAAATGTGCATGGAAGCCAAGAAGTTGTATGACTTTTGGCAGTGGGCACTGAATTATAATGTATTGGTCGATGTTATGAAGCGAAGATACACTGAAGCCAAAACCAGATATAAGAAAGCTCTTGAGCAAGCTAAATTAAAATTTAATGCGGAATCGATTGCTTCAGCACTGAACCAGTGGAAAAGGGCTTGGGAGCTAATAAACAAGTCTAAGTGCAGAGTGACATCCCATTCGATTGACTCGCTGACACCCCAGATCTTTAATGACTTCTTTGACCTCTCCTCGGTAGATTACATCTGTAACCGAGGCGTCCCAGCTGTTCGAGAAGCCTACTGTCAACGGTCTTCGAACTTTCACGCTTAGACCAGTGTCAAGTGACAAAGTGGCTAAAATAGTGAAAAATATGAAAAGCAATAAGAGCCGTGATATCTGTGATATCAGTTGTGACCTTGTCAAGGTAGTGCTTCCTGAAATTATCTGTTGGTGATCAAAGTTGACACTGTTACTGACAAATAAGTTAACTCACCCAGAATGTCTAAGAAGTTAACTCTAGATTTCAGAACCAAACGCTCTGTTGGTGGGGCAGCTAGTTGAATGTGGATGGTGGCATCAGATTCATTTCTAAACAAAAAATATATTTTTAAAAAACTATCCTAAATATTAATAGGCAAACATGTTTCGTGAAAACCTTTTTTCTCTGCTCGTGTGCAATGCAGAGAAAATCTACGCATACTGTTAGAAATATATTTTGCTGTAGATGTGTAGAATCCCTTTATAAATTAAAATAGACTAAAAAATATGCACAAAAAATGAATTTAAAATTTAAAAAAATTTACATGGGCCTTATGGTTTGCCATGCTGGTGACGAAATATAAACAGAAAATCAAAACCAATGGAAGATGTTCTAATCACATGTTTTATTTACAGAGTGGGGTTAAAATAGAGAAGTCTGCACATTACATATTTTTGGTTGAGTTTTCGACCACTGGATGTCCTGTAGTTGAAATTAATAAGAAATATGATATGCGTCTAATTTATTTAGCCATACTCAATGTTTCATGAAAAAGAAACTAGGAATAATTATTTGTTTTCCTACTACTAAATATTTTATATCCAGTTTTGGTCTACTAAAATGATTATTTTCAAATGGAAACCAACAGGAAAACAGAACTAATATCTTAGGATTTGTAGAGGTGCGATTTCTCCAATACAAAGAATGTCAGTTTGGTGAGTCGATAGCGTCACAGACTTCGGGTCCAAGGCTGCCGCTACTTTTTATCAGTACAGTTCAACCTTGTACTGTACTGGCTCACCCTTTGCTTTGCTGGATACTGTAAAGAAAAAAATAAACGTTCTTTACTTACTTATTACTTCAAAATATACTCTTTACATTAATTGATCATTCCATCACTAAAATCGCCTCACACCTTTATGTAATGCAATTTGGCTATTCCATATAGGTGTGAGTACAACAAAAAGTTGCCCCCTGGTGGGGTTTCAATGAATTTAATTTAGTTGATCAGACAACTGAGGACCAATCACAGAGCCGGCAGTGGAAGTAAGATGTTGTATTGAGCCCTGATAATTGTGTATCCCAGAAGTCCGATTTATGGACCGTTGAGAGGTCTGATATGTCCTCCTGAAAGTGCTTTCAATAATCTTAAACGTAACACTTCTTAAGATGCAATAAAAAGTATATCAAATATTCTGAATGCAAAATTACACTCTTTGTTGAAACTTTGTTAAAACATTGGTTTTGACTCTGAAATATTGAAACGATTATGCGAAATATTGATGAACCAATATATAATAAATTATGTGTCAATTGACTACTTAATGATACTGTACTTTATTGCAATTGTTCGGTTAAGCCGATTACCTTGAAAAGATTAACACAGGAGAATTAATAAAATTGATGAAAGAATAAGCTTTGTGTATTATCACTATAAATAATACAAATATTACAAATAATCAATATTAATATTCAAGTTTCTGCTAAAATTAATAATATTCAAGTTTCAGCTATAATTAATAATATTCTAATTTCTACTAATTACACTTCAATTTAATGTGAGAGAGTATTGATTGTGGTCTTTTTGACTTTCTTTCCTGAAATATTGACAGCAGAGCCTCGGGAACCTAGGTTTAATTTATTCAATCTGTTTTAGGCTATTAGGCTTCCCAAAGTATGGTATTTACTTACAACTGGCCAGTTGATCTTATGTGCAAAGGGGCTATTCGTAGATCTGTGTACAGCACACTTTGTTGCTCAGTAGCAAACTGGACCAAAACGACTACTGAGTCGTTTGTTTAATTTAAGTTAAAAGTATGATTTTTATGGCGTTAATGGAAGCCTACCTTGTAGCCTGTATTGACACCTAACCTTCAACCGGGACAATGCTCTGATTGAAACCTGAATTTGCACCCAATCAAATACTCTCAGTGATCTCTTTATGTATTTTTGAAGTGATTTCAAACCCAAATATTAAAGCAAGAACAAATTGTAACAGTTTTACGTGACAGACAGCTGATTACCCTAACAATATAATTTGAATTTAAGCACGAAACTAATATGAAATTTAACTGGTATAAAAATTTACCCAAATTATTAATATAACAATATCTACAAATGTATCACAGTATGTATTTTAAAATAAGTAAATGGCAATAATTCTAAAGCAATGTGACTGAATTTACACACTAAGACATGAAACCTGCAAGAAACATGATTAAACAAATATGAATGTGGACAGATTGGCTTCTCCTAATGATATAAATACAATTTACACAAAACATTTACTTACATACACAGAAGACAATTTTGACGACACATAAACATATAATTACGACACTGTACTTGGGATAGGCTCTACGAAAATGGTCAAATCTGACGAATTTTGCCGGTCGACGTCGAACTTAAAGACTCGTTTTGTTTCAATTCGTAATTTAGTAAATGCTGTTTCACGGTTTTAGATATCAATGCACTCCGGAGATCGAACAATTGATTCGTTGACGAAATACACGTTACGACTACCAAAAGTGATTTTTGCAAATTGAAAAGGAGAATTTAAAGATTTCCGTACATCGCGGCTCAGAGCTTGGTCCCAAGTGACCGTTAGAAAAAGACGTCCGCACAAGTCAGCAAATTGGTGTTCCTCCGCGCTCACGTGATTGGCCGTTGTTGGTCCTTGCCTTCGCGCGTTTTCAGTTTGATTTGAATTTTCATTTGGTCATTCATTTTGAATCGGTACATGATGCCCCCTTGCCAAAAAAATTGGCCCGAGCGACCACAAGGTCCGCAAGAAGACTTCGTCCAACCCGGGACAATTTTCAAACCGGCGGCGCGACGCGACGCTTGTGACGGCGGAGAGACGTTTACACAACAGTTTCACATTTACACAGTTACAATTTACATACATTTAAACACGAAACAATTTCTTCACATTTACATTTTTTTGAATAATACTCATATAATAAATATTCAATATTAATATTTTCAAAGTGTGAAAAACATGCTGGGAAAAATTTTATTTTAAAACAATTTTTTTTTCATTTTTTCTTATTTCTATTTTTTTTTTTTTTAACATTTATTTTCTCTTTTTTTTTCCATTTTCCATTTTTTTTTTTTTTTTTCATTTCATTTGTTTGCCTTATTTCTATTTGTACTGAGGGCGAGAGCGATTTGAGATGGGAGAGCTGACAATACCTGACACCAAAGTGTCTCACAAATTACCACTTACATCTACTCCACACGAGTGGTGAAAAACGCGCACGCTTAACCACACTGTAGAATTACCTAGCACTCAATGAAGCAGACAGCAGCAGTTCATTCATGGTTCACTATCGGCGATCAGCTGTTGGCGATAGAGTGGGGCGGGTGGGGTGGGGAGTAGGTCATCGACTCGTGTGTGGCGCCGAGTGTGGTCATCGAGATGTGGCGCACCAGCTGTTTGAAACCTGTACTTGATAGGTGTACGTTGTCTGGCTTCCCATTTCGATACTTCTTGTTGTATAATGATAGATTCATTGGTGCGAATGGTGGGAATAGTTTATGGAATTTTATTGATTGAATGGATGGAGGATTATTTAAAGACTGGATAAAAATATTTAAGGATTTAATTTTGGGTTGAATATGGGGGGTATGTAAAGTGGGAGGGAGGGTGGTAATGTAGATGGTTTTGTTGTGGGATTTCAGTAAACGGATAATTGTCTTTATATTGATTTTGGTTTTCTCTGGGGCAATGGATTTGAAAATGTCATTAATTCCAATGAAAATTATGCATGTGGGTTTTAGCACTGACACTTGGTTTCTGATAGCGCACTTGAGATCTTGAGTAGTCCATCCGCCGTGAGCAACACTGTGTTCAATCGACCATTGTTGTGTAGTTGATTGTTGTCCGCCGCCCACTCTGACCAGCCTGACCCCTTGCGAGTCTCCCAAAACACTCACAGCGACGGGTGACATTTCTCTTCACACTATTCACTGTTGGAGAAAAAAATGGTTTGGTGTTACCGCCTTAAAATTAACAATATTGTGTTAAAAAAAAAACGAGTCGGTACCCCCTCAAACAAACGTAGGCATTAACAACAATGATTTTTTTTTCTAATCTCTCGAATAATACTTTTTTATCTGACATACATGAACTACTTTCGCAATGGATGGGTCCCGATTCAGACGGATTTTTACATTTACCTGATTTAATACTTTAATTACAGTATACGGTCCATCCCAGGTATGAGTTAGCTTATGACTGATTTTATTTGCTTTGTTACTAGGCGTATATTTTTTGTATAATACCAGATCACCTTCAGTATATGGAGACGGTTTTCTATTTTTATTGTATCTCTCCTTTATCTTTTGATGAGCTTTCTTAGAGTGTTCTAATATTTTACTCACTCTATCCTCGGCTGTTTCAGTCGAGCATTCATCGCCAAGGTCCCAGTGTAGTTTGAGTGAATGGTTTAACTCTCTACCAAGGAATGCATAAGCTGGAGTCACACCTGTAGTTTCGTGTAATGCAGAGTTCAATCCCATACAAAGGAAAGGTATATTTTCGTCCCATTTCTTTTGGGTTTGAGAATGATAGATTTTGAGTATCATTTTGAGATTTCTATTTAATCTCTCGGATTGATTTGAATTAGGCCTAGCCACTGATGTAGTTATGTGTTTCACCCCTAAACCAAATAAAAAACTCCTAAACATTTCGGACTTGAAAATGGATGCATTGTCCGATACAATGGTTTCTGGCAACCCATGTTGTGAAAAAATCTTATCCTTTAACGCATTAATTATTGTCTTTGAATCTGCTTTTCTCATTGGAATAATCCAGCTGAACTTAGAGAATGAATCAATACATACAAAAGCATAAGCATTTCCTGAAACAGATCTTACTAGTGGACCAAACATATCAATGTGGAGTCGTTCAAAACATTTCTGGGGTGGTTTTGAGTTCATCAAACCTATCTGTAAATTCTGGGCTGGTTTCGAGAGTTGACATAGTTCACATGAACGTACGTAATTTTTTACGTCGTTAAAAACTCCATCCCATGTAAAATTCTTTATTAGGCGTGCTGTAGTCTTTTTTATGCCCCAATGAGAGTGAATGGATATGTCGTGGAAA